GTGGTGTCCCCCAAGGGTCAGTCCTGGGACCAATCCTTTTCAACTTATTCATAAATGATCTGGAGAAAGGGGTAAGCAGTGAGGTGGTAAAGTTTGTGGATGATACCAAACTTTTTAGGATAGTCAAGACAGAAGCAGATTGTGAGGGACTCCAAGAAGATCTCACTAAACTGAGTGATTGGGCAACAAAATGGCAAGTGAAATATAATGTGGATAAGTGTAAATTAATGCACATCGGGAAAAATAACCCCAACTATATGTACAGTATGATGGGGGCTAATTTGGCTATGACAAATCAGGAAAGAGATCTTGGAGTTATCGTGGACAGTTCTCTGAAAACTTTCACACAGTGTGCAGCGGTGGTCAAAAAGGCAAATAGGATGCTAGGAATTATTAAGAAAGGGATAGAAAATAAGACTCAGAATATTTTACTGCCCCTGTATAAAACTATGGTACGTCCACATCTTAAATACTGTGTACAAATGTGGTCTCCTTCACCTCAAAAAAGTTATTTTGGCCTTGGAAAGGGTTCAGGAAAGGGCAACTAAAATGATTTGGGGTTTGGAACAGGTGCCATATGAAGAGAGGTTAAAATGACTGGGACTTTTCAGTTTAGAAAAGAGGAGATTGAGGGGGGATATGATAGAGGTATAAAAATCATGAGTGGTGTGGAGAGGGCGAATAAAGAAAAGTTATTTATTAGTTCCCATAATAGAAGAACTAGAGGACACCAAATGAAGTTAATGGGTAGCAGGTTTAAAACTAATAAAAGAAAGCTCTTCTTCACACAGCGTGTAGTCAGCCTGTGGAACTCCTTGCCAGAGGAGGCTGTGAAGGCTAGCACTATAACAGAGTTTAAAGAGAAGCTAGATAATTTCATGGAGGTTAGGTCCAAAAAAGGCTATTAGCCAGGGGATAGAAATGGTGTCCCTGGCCTCTGTTTGTCAGAGGCTGAAGAAGGATGGTAAGAGACAAATCACTTGATCATTGTCTTCAGTCCATCTGCTCTGGGGCACCTGGTGCTGGCCACTGTCGGCGGACAGGCTACTGGACTAGATGGACCTTTGGTCTGACACAGTACGGCCGTTTTTATGTTCTTATGCTCTCCTACCAATGCAACCTAATATGTCATTAGCCTTCTAGGCTACAAGGGCACACTGTTAACTCATATCCAGCTTCTTATTCACTGCAATCCCCAGGTCTTTTTCTGCAGAACTGCTGCTTAGACAGTCAGTCCCCAGCCTGTATCAGTGCTTGGGATTCTTCCATCCCAAGTGTAAGACTCTGTACTTGTCTTTGTTGAACCTCAGATTTTTTTTTGGCCCAATCCTCCAATTTCTCTAGGTCACTCTGGACCCTATCCCTCCAGTGTATCTACCTCTCCCCCAGCTTAGTTTCATCTGTGATCTTGCTGAGAGTGCAATCCATCCCCTTATCCAGGTCATTAATAAAGATGTTGAACAAAACCAGTCCTTGGACCAACCCCTGGGGCACTCCACTGGACACTGTCTTCAAAACACAGGTCTCACTGTGAGCAGGATTTGAACCTGCACATGGAAACCTTGTTGGAGTTCAAGTCCAATGCCTTAACATCCCAGCTATTGTGCAGTTGGAAATGCCGTAGAAAATGGTGCAAAAAAAGACAAATAGGCATCCTTGATCTCCCCAACTTTAAATTCAACATCCTTTTTTCTCTTTTATTCAAATAGCAGAGGCATTGGTATGGTTTGCTGGCTGGCACTCAGGACTTAAAGGAGCTGGGTTCTATTTTCAACTCTGTCACCCATTTATTATGACTGCTTGGGCAAGTCATTGAATCTGTCTGTGCCTCAGTTCCATGATATGTGCTAGTATTCGATAACCTGGGATGAAAAGATTTACAGAAATACCAAGTATCACTGAGAAGTCACTCAAGAGGGAGTAAAGGTAAACACATAAATGAAAATGGCATAGCTGATTTAAATGATAGATTACAGAATAATGTTAGGAGTTCTTTGTTCAGTGACCACCACACTTCTTATTTTAAGGGACTATTTTGTTTGTTGAAACAAGATGTTGTTTTACATTTCAACTTTCAATAGCAATAACTGTACTAAATATATTATCTTTTGTGTTTCTGCAGTTTTTTGTGTTCTGCCATGGGTTTCTCCAGCTCTCCCAGCTCCTGCTATCTGGCTATCTGAAAAGCTCAATTTCAACAATTGAGAAGAGGTTTGGCTTGTCCAGTCAGACATCTGGATTGCTCGCTTCCTTCAATGAGGTGACCTCTGCTTTATTCAAAATTCTTTCTTTTAATCTCCTGCCCATACAACTTTCCTGTGCTCCTGTCTATCCTCAGGAGGCCATTTACAAAGTGTTTCAGAGACTTTTTAATTTCTATCTCCCACTGCAGGTTGGGAACACACTGCTGATAGTCTTCGTAAGTTACTTTGGAAGCAGAGTGAACAGGCCCCGTTTCATTGGCTGTGGCGCTATTCTTGTATCCATAGCTGGGATTCTCATGTCTGTTCCTCACTTTATAACAGGGCGCTACGAATATGACCAGTCCATTGCCAGTAGGTACTCTAATCTATATCTATATCTATATCTATATCTATATCTATATGCTATGTTTTTTGAGATCGGGCAAAGGAGGAGACCTTTCCTTGAGGTATCATTAACGGCAGAGCATAGGGATATGGAATACAATGCCAGAGAAGTAGATATGAACTTTTGTTTTCCTAAATTAAAATTTACTGGCTCCAGGAGATAATATTGACTAAGGTGAAGTCAAGAGAGGAATAACAAGGAAACAGCTCCAGGCAGGAGTCAAGGCAAAAGAAAATGAGATCTAAAGCATTATTAGATGTGATACTGCTTTCACTTCTGGCTGCCTATTTCCTTATGTTTATTTGTTGCACCAAATGTACCCTATGTCTCTACCCCAAGCTGTCCTTACACAAGTAGTCCCACTGAGCACAGCCTAAATCAAGGAGAATACTTATGTGAGCCAGGGTTTTCAAGATGGGGCTTTAAACTATAGATGAAGGAAAGGGATTGGGGGCAGCCAGCAGCAGTGGTAGAGCACAGATCATGGACAAATGCTAGGGATTTAAATCTTCTATGCTTTGGGATTTCACTGATGCTTCTTTTGGAGAAGGTGGGCCTGATTGAAGAAGTAACTTTCAGGGAGGAACTAGGGTTTTTTTTATTTCAAAAGGGCTAACTTTAATGAATTAAGGAAATTAGTTAGGGAAGTTGATTGGACTAAAGAAATTATGGATCTTGAGGTGGAGGAGGCCTGGGATTATTTTAAGTTAAAGTTGCAGAAGCTGTCAGAAGCCTGTATCCCAAGAAAAGGGAAAAAAATTATAGGCAGGTGTTTTAGACCAAGCTGGATGAGCAAGCATCTCAGAGAGGTGATTAAGAAAAAGCAGAAAGCATATAAGGAGTGGAAGATGGGAGGGATCAGTAAAGAAAGCTACCTTATTGAGGTTAGAGCATGTAGGGACAAAGTGAGAGAGGATAAAAGTCATTTAGAGTTGGACCTTGCAAAGGGAATTAAAACCAATAGTAAAAGGTTTTATAGCCATATAAATAGGAAAAAAACAAAAAAAGAAGTAGGACCGCTAATTACTAAGGATGGAGTGGAGGTTAAGGATAATCTAGGAATGGCCCAATATCTAAACAAATACTTTGCTTCAGTCTTTAATGAGGCTAATGAAGATCTTAGGAATAATGGTAACATAACAAATGGGACTAAGGATATGGAGGTAGATATTACCATATACAAGGTAAAAGCTAAACTTGAACAGTTTAATGGGAGTAAATCGGGGGGAGCCAGATAATCTTCATCCAAGAATATTAAAGGAACTGGCACATAAAATTGCAAGTCCATTAGCAAAAATGTTTAATAAATCTCTAAACTCAGGAATTGTACCATTTGACTGGATAATATAGTTCCTATTTTTAAGAAAGGGAAAAAAAGCGACCGTAACTATAGGCCTGTTAGTTTGACATCTGTAGTATGCAAGATCTTGGAAAAAAATTTGAAGGAGAAAGTAGTTAGAGACATTGAGGCTAATGGCAATTGGGACAAATTACAACATGGTTTTACAAAAGGTAGATCATGCCAAACCAACCTGATCTCCTTTTT